GGGGTGTTTAGTCTGGAGAAGAGGAGGCTGAGGGGAGACCTCATCGCCCTCTACAGCTCCCTGAAAGGAGGGTGCAGAGAGCTGGGGGTGAGTCTCTTTAACCAAGTAACAAGCGATAGGACAATAGATAAGGGCCTCAAGTTGTGCCAGGGAAGTTTCAGGCTTGATATTTCTTTACAGAAGGGGTTGTTAGGCATTGGAATGGGCTGCCCAGGGAGGTGGTGGAGTCCCCATCCCTGGAGGTGTTTAAGAGTTGGGTTGACATAGTGCTGAGGGATATGGTGTAGTTGGGAACTGTCAGTGTTAGGTTAATGGTTGGACTGGATGATCTTTAAGGTCTTTTCCAACCTAGATGATTCAGTGATTCTGTAACTCTGAGACAGAGACAAAATGAAGATGGCAGACAATAAATTATGGTAGTCTCTCTTAAACTGTAGGATAATATAAAAATAGGTTTCTTTCCTTAATAATAGTGAGCAAGGTAGGATTACATCTGAGTGACTGAATTTTGCCACTAGATAACTTATTAATATGCCAAAGAAATAGGAAATAACTCAGGAATGTATTACAGAAGTGCCCACTGGATTAGCTAGCATTGAAAAATTTCCCTTATATTAAGTAAACCATATGCTAGTGGCTTATTTAGTGGACATACCATCAGAGCCATTGCCTAATTAGTCTTTAATTGAAGGAGTGCAAGCATGACTAGTAGAAAAAGTCCACGAATAAATCAGTGCCAAAGAAATGAAGGAGAAAACCAGAAAGCAGTTTGACATAGTCTGGCTACCTGAGCTAACTAAATGTTACCACTGGGATGCAGAAAGGTCTAGCAGATGACAGGAGGCAGCCAGTCAGAAGGAAACCAACATATGTTTGGGGAAGAGTCTTTAATACTATTATTTTTATTGTTGATATGATGTTGTTGTTGTTATTATTAATATTACTTCTAGTTATTAATATTTGAATCCCACTTCTTAAAGGGAAAAAGCAAAATCAGAATTTTGGGAACATTTGTTTCTTTTTAATTGGAGTTTGGCAAGTAGAAGCAGCAGGAAAGGCAAATGAACACCCCTCCTGAAACGGCTTTTTGTATTCTGTCTTTTCTGTTTCCTAAGTGGAAAGGGATCAGTTGCAGATGCTCAGAGAACTCAGAATAATTCTAGACCTACATGGGAAAACCTGACAAAATAGATCATGTATAAGCATCTATAAAAGCAGGATGGGACCCAAGTACCTTTACACCTTTACTTTTAATACTGGATTCAGTTATGTTTCTGTGATTTTTAATCTATTAAATAACAATAGTTCTCAAATCCGCATTTACCACTCCAGGCTTTTTCATTTTTTCAGAACTGTTTATCAAGGAATATTTCTATCTATAAACTCATTTAGAACATTCTATTTTTTTTGCCTTGTGTGCAGTGACAATGCTATAGTTGCACCATTCCTAAATACAAAATTATTAATATTAAATGCTTTATAATATTTATTCTATGAAATACAAGAATTTGTAAACACTAGCTCAAATATTCCCTATGACAAAGCCTAGTTTTGCAGTATTTCAGAAGATTAGCATTTTATTGTCTGAGTTACTGATTATCTCATCATCTGGCAATACTTAGGCAAGGTTATTTGGAAGCTAGCATTACTATTTCAGTACAGGGAAAGAGCTTTGCCAGCACGTTCTAAGGCAGTCTTGCAAATGAGGAAGACTACAAGACATATATACCTGCAGGTACGAGGTATATAGGAGGTATGAAGGAGGAAAGTGTGCTTTCACCCACCTGAGTAGGAGTTCAGTATTAATAAAGTCCCAGGCTAAAGCCTATGGTCTCACAGCTTTGTGGCTCTCTGATTAAATCTGGTTTAGCTGTATCTGTTCATGCGATAAACACATCCCTGGCTGCAGTGGCAATATAGCTTTAAACATACATGTGTAAAGTCCAGACTAGCCACTTACCTGTTACAGATTGCTTCTAGCAGTTCGCAAACTCAACTATGTGTTATGTTGCTACAGGGTGAACTGTTACCAGATGGTGGTCAGGTTCATTAAAAAAAGCTTTAGTCTGTGTAACTGGCATAGTAAACTAAAGCACAGTAAAGTTTCATAGAAAAGATAGCTCCCCATATCTAATCAGTCATTTAACGTCAGAAGTTTTTTATCAGAGGATTCACAAGATAGTGTTCTTGAATTAAGTCTCTCTATACAGTCTGTTCTGTTAGCTGAGGCTGGAAGCAGGAATTGTTCTTTGAAAAAAAAAAAAAAAAAAAAAAAAAAAAAAGTGTTCTACTTGCTGTATTTTTCTGAAAAGGCCTTTCTCCATGAAGAGAACATTATTCATGATACACAGCCACTTTGTCTATCTGGCCGTATTTTAAGACTGCAGCTTCCACTTGCCATTACAGAAACTCCTGTAATCCAAAAAAATAGCTTCAGTGTTACTAATACTTAGAAAGTGTGTAGCTGAGAATATGTGCCAGGCACAACAAAGTGTAAAACAAAATTTTTCTGCTAGTAGGATGTATCAAAATACCCAGCTAAAAAGTTACACATGAGGAAATATACATCCTCTGGCTACTAATCCTGGGGAAAAAAAAAAAAACAACAAAAAAACAAACAAACAAACAAAAAAACCCCACCATAATCTGTCTTTAAAATTGCTTGACTTTTACTTTTTTATTTTCATTGTTAACCTGTCCTGGTACAGTGTATATAGTAACTTTGTGGGTATCTGCCAGGTTAATAATGTTCTAATACCTTCATATTAGACTCAGAAAGCCTTCTTTTTTTTTTTTTCTTTTTTTTTAATACACTAATAAGAAGGGTTAATTTTATAATCCTCTTAGATGGTCTCAGAATACTTTTATAAATGTCACAATCATTGAGATTTTATTTACTCTAGCAAGCACTTTGTATGGTGTAGAAATACTTTTCTGGCAGGCTTTGCTGTTATATTGATGATCTTAACTGGAATCTACACCCTAGACAAAGAGAATTCTTATCCTATTTAAAAGAGTTACACAGAGTTGTTTTTTATAAGCTTAGACTCAGAGATCTCACAATAACTTTTGAATTTGATTCAAAATCTATACTGAAACAGCAAAATACTCTTTTGTATTTTGTCTCTGGAGGTTCCAGAGACTCCAAGTTCATCACAGGCTATAGATGTGGACTTTTGGCATAAAACTCCCCATTCAAAGCTGCCAGCTCTACTGGATCTTAAAAGTGTTGCATTCAAGATAAATATAATTCAGGAAAAAATGTTTTCTAAGATTCTGTTGCTGGCCTGTATGCATGAAGCCAAACCATTTTTTTAAAGTGTATTTTAATGAGTAGAAAGCTGGGTTCAATTTCGTTCACATCTCCGTTGCTGTTCTTGGTTTGACTGTCCAGTCTTAGATTGAAACAACCACCTGACAAGCAGGATTTGATCAGTTCTTTTCAGGCCTGGCCTAGATTTTACTTAATTTCTCAGCTTTGCTTTCACTGGATTTTCACCTCACTACATATGTGGCAGGAATTATATGAGTCCTGTCACAACATGCCATTTGGTGTTGTAGCAGTTGTTTTCACTGTTTCATCTGATGGCTGGTCTGTATTTGCACCTTTATTGCTGCATCTGGAAGAGTGACAACAGGCCAGTTTTCTAAAAGTAAGGAATTTAGTCCTGGCTTTAGGGAGTTGTCTGTGAATGGATTAATCCTGGTTGCCACAACCCATGTTTGACACAGTTTTTTCAGTCATTTTTCAGCAAAGGCCAACTGTGGCTTAATTCTGTTGATGCAGCAGGACATGTTTATAACACATCTGACCCGAAGAAGAAGAATCACCTATTTTGAGTAACATAGATATGGGACAGACTCTGTTTTTCTATATTCTCCTTTATATTTTCTTCCATTCTTGCAAAAGACAGATGCCACCATGACCAGACTAAGAAAATGTTGCTAATTTCCACCCACTTCTCTTACAGATCAACTGTTTGAGTCCTATTGGCTTCTGTGGAAATTACTCACTTCCTGTAATTGAAAAAGGGGCATTTGAAATTAATGATGTGCTTACTGAGCAAGAAAGGAACAAGTATAGTCTCCATATAATTTTTCTATTCCACTATCTGTGCATAGCGATCCATTGGAAGAAAAGCTTTTCAAAACAAAAGTTAACAGTATTTGTGAAGTGTATGTATTACAATGAAACAGTACAAAAACCTCACGAGTAACAGCTGTGCCTGCAGCTCTTCCAGTCTGGCACACTTCGCCTCTGCGGATCCATCAAGGTGCTGCTTCCCACTTTGTGATCCAAATTCATACACAGGGCAAACTGCTGTGATTCTTTTGAAAAGTAATGGAGTTCTGACTTTTGTCTATGGCTGAATGTGATTTGGCACTCACTTCTTTGGTGGTTGAGAGTGTTATGGCTTCATGTCAGGCACAGAAGGTGTATAGGTGTGCAAACACAGCGCTAGCATGTATCTGAATGTAAAAAATTAAGTAACCCAGGGATTGATACCAGAATGTAGAAAAAATGGGGCTTAAATGATACTAATGTATTTAATTAAAAGAAATTTTGATTTAGAGACAAGGACATAAACTACACTGATTCTGTAAAATTCAATTTGCTGGATTTTTTACATGCAGTATGTATATGTATAGAACACATCGGGAGGGTGTGTGTGTATACCTGTGCAGACAACACATAAAGGCATGGAAGTGTATGTAGTAGGGGTGCAGCAGGAGAGGAAGGCTTGTGGGTACAAACGTTTTGGGCCAGTTGCAGTAAAAGCTGATGAGGCTAACTAGCAAATGGCTGACAGTCTAAGATTCAGACCGGTGACACGCTTATACTTTGTGAGCATTTAAATACAGGGACGTATATTTCAGTGTAAATCCAGTCAGACTTGACATCACCGAACCAGCCTGAAAACTGCCAGTTTTCCCACCAGCTCAGGCTTGGAATGGATTTAATCTCATAAGGTCCTTGCCCTTTTTGTCTTCTACAACAGCGCATCTGCAGTTTGACATCATATCCTCTCTGTGTACCAGCGTCCTCGACCTCCCTGCTGCCTTGGAATGCCTGTTCTTTCCACGAGGTTTTCACAGTGTCACGCTGAATATTCAATGTCAGCTCTGTGCAGCTGAAACTCTGCAGAAGGAATGCCGCGTCCCAAAACTCACCACCTTCGGTGCAGAAAGAACCGTAAGGTGCCAGGTGTGTCCCTTGTACTGCTGTAAGTAGGTGTAACGTCACCGAAAACAAAGACACTGAGCGTGACACAAAGCAGGCATGAAAGGGGAAAGACTCCACCCTTCGGGATTAATGTTTTACACGCTTCAAGTGGAAGCCGCATTTGTAAAACCTTACGTGTCTTTAGGAAAACGACTCTTCCCCGACGCCCGATGAGCTCGCCGGGCTGTCGGGCGGCGCTGCCGCCGCCTTCCAGAAGGTTCCCCACCCCGCCGCCGCCTCAGCCCCTTGCTCCAGCGGCACCGGCTCCGCCAGCAGCGGGCTACGAGAGCCGGCGGCGGAGGGCGCGCT